AGGAAGAATATGGTGGTGAGCTCTAGATTCAGACATCAAGTCTAATTCAGAGGCTGGAAAAGAACTCCCCTTTTTACTCCAGTAAAAAAGTTCCAAGGAAGAACTCCAAATGAAGTCAATTATCCCTCCTCCCTCCGTCCCTTTTGCCAGTCAGTACGGCTGCAGGGTTGGACGCTATGATTGGCTCAGTTTGGGTTTGCCTACCTCTGTGACTGTGGCCACGGTCTCTCCCGTGGGATAGGAGGTGGGTATGATGCAGATGGATATCAGGTAGACACAAACAGTAGCCACCACAGTATTTTGCACTCCTAGTAAAATCTATATAATACCTACATTCTAACCTGAACACTGGAGCACGTCTTCCATTGTTCCAAGGAACTCAATGACTCAACAATTAGTCTTTGTCCAATGTCAAAGATTGACACCAAGTATGTGAGATTCCTCGCGCTGCCTTAACAAACACTACAAACTTGTTGGCTGAAAACAACAGAATTGTACTGTCTCACAGTTTTGGAGGTCAGAAGTCAAGATGTCAGCAAGTTGGCTCCAAGGAGGAATCTGTTCCATGCCTCTTTTTGGCCTTCTCTTGGTGACTGGCACTCTTGGTGTTCCTTGGCTTGAGACTGAAAGTCTCAGTCTCTGTCTCTGTCTTCACGTGGCCCTTCCCTCCATGTCCTTGTCTCTCAAATATCCCTCTTTTCTGTCTTGAAAGGACACTTGTTATTGGATTTAGGGCTCATCCTAATCCAGAATGATCTGCTCTTGAGATCCTTAATGACATCTGCAAAGGCCATATTTCCAAATAAGGTCACATTCATGGGTAGAGTTAGAACATGAACACGTCTTTTTGGGGGACACTATTCAACCCACTCCACTGAATGATATGGTTATATCCCCAGAAAGCCAAGGTAGCTTTTTCTTCTCTGAGTGACCTGGTTCTCCAAATTCATAATCTATACCCATAGAGCATGAATCATTCATGACAAACACACTTTCTAAAAGTAAAGCTTTTGAACAAATGTGTGGATGGAGAAAATGAGCCCCAATTAAGCTCCTCTTTGTGACAAACCTCTCAGAAAAGCATTAACTCTAATCTTCAGTGAAAAGCATTGTAAAATCAAGGTCGGATGGGAAGATGGTGTTTGAAATGGCCTGGGTTTCCTTTAATGGAATGAAGAGAGGTAGAATTTACTGTGATTATGATATGCTTTTAGCCACACAGGAGTCAGGGTCAGAGAATTAAGTGAAACCAACGAAACTGTGGCCAACTGTGGTTTTGTCTTTGGGAGACTTTGTGAATTATCAACAGGCAGGGAGATAGGAATGCTCTCTCCATTCATGATACCTTCAGAGTTTGTGTGAACCGGGCTCTCTCTGGTCTTCAGAATAGCTTTTGCTTTTCCATCTGCATTTTCAGTTTTATTCTTTGGTTGTGAGAAGATTGAGAAAAGGGTAAGAAATTATGCTTTGTTTGGCATTGGTGACGAGAACTCTCTTTGGTTAAGCTAAGAAATTAGCACATAATTTTACTTAAAAAGCAATATTAATGTTCTCCAGATCTTCAGGGCTTCTGCTACCTGTGAGTCAGGGCTTGGCTCAAAGGTGGCTTCCTCACAGAGCTCTTCCCTCTATCTGAAGCATCCTCCCCACCACCCTCCACCCATGCCCTTCCATCACCTAGTAAGGCTGTCACTCTCAGTCTCCTGCTTTATCTCTCTCTAAGGCACTAGTGATGTATTATTGAAGATAGATTAGATACATTGATTTGGCTGAGGTCTGTTTCCTTTCTAGGCTATAAGCTCCAGGAAGGAAGGAACTCTTATCATCTTGTACACTCAGGACCTAGATCAGTGCCTGACACATAAGGAGGCTTCAGTCAACATTGCTTGAACTGACGAACGAGTACATGTGTGGATTCCTTTGCTGTGTGCCCTGTGTACTGACTCATTTCCTCCTCAGAGCAATACTGTGATGCAGATGCTGAATGAGCCAGACGAGTTCTCTGGTGAGAAGCACAGTGGTCTGGAAATTAGGCGGTATAAGACACGTGTGAGAACACCAACACCTGCTCTGCCTGGGTACACGTGGGCCCTGGAATCTGTTCCATGTCCAGCCTCTGAATTAGACTCGATTGACATGGAACAGATTTCCTTATCTGTAGAATGGCGTGGCAGCGGCACCTGCCTTGTAGGGTTGTTATTATGACAATTAGATGACACTGCATTTGACAGGAACAGAACTTGACACGTTGCAGGCACTCAGTAAACATAAGCTAATATGTTGCCCTCTTCCAGCTGAATGAGGAGGTAACTTGAGCAAGAATACAGTGTTGCTAGGTGGAGAGGCAGAATCGGAACCCAGATCCAACTTCTTCTAGAGGCTGAGTCAGGTCTTGGGCCCACTGTTAATTTTCTTGATGTGTTTGAGGTAGGCTTCAAAGAAATTAGGCAGATATCACTGGAGTACTCTAGCAGCTGGAAGTCTGGAACATTCAATACGGCAAATGGCACAGCTACCAGTTGGTCACCACGAGGACACTGGTCAATATAGGGAAACAGTATGGACCAACATGGGAAGACACTTCATGGCTATGCAAATCAGAATCTGATGGCTTTCATCTTGATTTCTTAGAGACGGCGATACAACAGGAGCAGGCCAACCTATGCCCATTGACCAACAAGCATGTTTCATGAGAACCACTCCAAAAGGTGAGACAATAGTTTAGTCCAAGCTGTGGTATTGCATGACAAAAGGCAGAGGTCAACTGGATGACTCACAGCATGGCCAACACTACTCAGCTACAGCTGTGGTAACCCCAGATTCCTACCTTGCCTTTAGCGCAACATCAGTGTATCTGCTAAAGCCCTTTGTATAGTTACTTTTTCTTGATTATCTGCTTCTCAGTCCATTGATCAGCAGAATCCAAGGCTAATTCCAAATACAGGCACACTGTTCTATCTCTTGAACCTTACCTTACCTTTCTAGCTATGTTGTATTTCACCAAAAATTATTTTATTTTTTTATTGGAATGCAAACCAGTGATATAGTTTTGGAATCTTGCTAGCCATATGCTGGACAAAAGAGTTGAGCTTTTGTATTTTTTCTGCGGACAATGTGCAATGCAATTGTGATTCAGAACTAAGAGTTCTCAGCCCCATAGTGGTACTGCACTATTAAATATCCTGGTCATCAGGCTTGAGGATGTTTGGAATATTGCCACCAAGCTCTTGAAATCCAAGCCAGGAGACTGGGTCCTTTTCATCTGTTGACCTTCGTCTCTTACGTGTGGCTTTTGTAAATAAAATCTATTGAAGATAATTGACCAGCTACTTTAGCTATACCAGGAAGAGATAAAAAATAATTTTCTTAATATTTATTTATTTAGCTAATCACCAAGAGTTCTGAAAATACCAAACTGAAAAATATACCACTTTCTTCTCATTGGTGACACAATTAAATAACTATCTTGCTACAAAGTAGTAATAATAATTGAATGTGTTTGTTTCCCAAGTGCTGATTTCCTGATATTTTGCACAAACCTTAATGGATTTCCAGGCTGATTTATTTTTATTTGATTTCTCTCTGTCTTTGGGGTCTCCAGAGAATATTCACATAGGGTTTTTTTTTTTTTTTTTTAAAGATTTTATTTATTTGACAGAGAGAGACGCAGTGAGAGAGGAAACACAAGCAGGGGGAGTGGGAGAGGGAAAAGCAGGCTTCCGCAGAGGAGGGAGCCCGATGTAGGGCTCGATCTCAGGACCCAGGGATCATGACCTGAGCCGAAGGAAGACACTTAACGGCTGAGCAACCCAGGCGCCCCAGAGTTTTTGTTTTTTTATGAAGTTTGTTCACTATAAAAAGAATCACTAATTCCTTTCTACCCTGGTTGTTGGGGATTAGTATCACACTCTAAAATACAGTGAAATTCAATGTTAATAGAACACCATTTTACATCTTCTTCTAGCTTATACCTCTTTTCCACACATATTGCATGTCCTATGTTATGAATATTTTAAATTACTACAACTTGCACAGTATTTAGAAAAAATTATTTCAAAATAATCCAGTAAATTATTACCCTGTTAGTACTGTATTAGTAGGTGCTATGCCTTAAGAATATAGCAGACAGAAATTCTCATGCAAATTCCTACACCTTTGAGAGATACAGAGCCCTCTTCCAGAAAGCATATAATCAGGGCCTCCTACACCAAGTGTTAAGTGCTTAACATCTTTAGAGAGACCTCCTGGGCTTCTGACCAAACCAATGGTGAGCACTGAGCTAGGAGGAACTTCTCTGTAAGAAAGCCTTGTGGTTGCCAGGAATGAGAAAATCTATTGACTACTGCATTCTGCTCTTTTGATATGTTTTGTTATTGTTGAAAGCAAAGTGCAGGAAGCTGCCATTTATTAATTTCCTTCAATCTCCTTCCCAGGATCTGTAGCATGTTCTCACTGGCCAAGAGATTGCTGATTCAGGCAAATCTTTTGTGGGTTGGATTATGTGAGAAAGAAGGTGTCCATTTTTGAATCTCTGGGAGGAAAAGGAGACTAGGTTTTAAGGGAATTAAGAGGAGACAAGGTGAAAAATAATTTCTCTCAAAACAATAAATAAAAGGGTAGCTACATCCACATTACTTCAGAATTTTAAAACAACTTTCCAGATTGTTTATTAAGAATTAACTCTTGGGATGCCTGGGTCAAACTCCAATTTCAGCACAGATCATGATCTCAGGGGCATGAGTTCGAGCCCTGAGTGGGGCTCTGCACTCAGTGCAGCATCTGCTTAAGATTCTCTCTCCCTCTGCCACTCCCCCTGCTCTCTCTCTCAAATAAATAAATAAATAAAGTCTTAAAAAAAAAAGAATTAACTCTCTCCAACCCATATAAAATTGCTGAACTAAGGCATTTCCTATCTAAAATGTTTACCTTCTAATAGCTGAATCTGGGTGACCTCAAAACTTTCAAGACCTAGATTATGTCTCTCTAGTGCAGTGTTTCTCAGCTTTGCGCAGGGGCAGTATCGTAGCCAGTGAGGTTTATCCGAGGGGTGACTATTGCTAATTGAAAACTTCCTCAGTCTTGGTGTAACTGGCATTTGGGACTGGAAGATTCTTTGTTGAGAGGGGACTGTCCTGTGCACTGTAGAATGTCTAACAGCATCACTGGTTTCTACCATTAGATGCAATAGCATTTCTGCCTCCACATTTGTGACAATAAAATGCCTCTCAACATCTCTAAATGTCTCCTGGGTGGGGGTCGGGTAGCCATAATCACCCCAATTGAGAACCACTGCTTTAAGTGCAAGAAGGCAAGACTCATAATCTACAACTTACATCCTAATTATCATTAGCTGGCCATGGTTATCTGGAGGACTAAGTTGAGGAAGATTCAGAGGGCTCAGCTATAAAGAATGTCTTATCTTGGTTGCTTAGCAAGGTCTTCCATGCAGAGAGGTGCCATGTTAGGGTTCTCTGGAGAAACAGAACCAGTAGGACTTGTGTCTATATATCTACATTATATCTATGTCTATCAATATCTATCATCTAGATACATAGAGAAAGAAAGAGATTAATTTTAAGGAATTGACTCACATGGTTATGGGAGCTAGCAAGTCCAAAATCTATAGGGTTGGCTGGCAGGCTGGGGACCCAGGGAAGAGTTGGGGTTCAAGTCCAGAGGCCATCTGTTGTTGGCAAGATTCCTTCTTGCTCAGGGAGGCCAGTATTTTTTCTGTTAAGGCCTTCAACTGATTGTATGAATAATGTTTGACCAAATATCTGGGTACTGTGGCTTAGCCCAGTTGACAGATAAAATTTATGATCATAGGTGCTCACTGTTCTTTTTAGTGAAAGCACTTTAGATTGGACCTTTGATTGTATCAAACTTCACCTGCATGTGTGGTCAACACCAGCTGTATCCACTGGGTGGGTCCAGGAGGACAGGCATCAGCCTGCACATCCCAGGGGTAGCATGCAGTGCCTTTGCTGCCTAGTCAGAGCAGCATGTCTGACCTGACAAAGGGAAGAAGTCAGAAGATGGCAATGAACTGTAACACACACATTCGAAGAGAAGAGAAGGAATGCCAGCTAAAAAGATAGAAGTAAATGTACCCTAGGCTGGGCACTGGGGATAGATTTTTAAAATGGGAAGATCAGGGGCACCTGGGTGACTCAGTGGGTTAAACAGCTGACTCTTGATTTCAGCTCAGGTCATGATCTCAGGGTCACGAGATTGATCCCCACATTGGGCTCCCCCCTCAGTGGGAAATCTGCTTGAGATTCTTTCTCCCTCTCTCTCTCTGCCCCTTCCCATACTCGTGCTCTCACTCTCTCTCTTTAAAGTAAATAAATCTCAAAAACCTAAAAAAATAAAAAAATAAAATGGAAAGAATAAATATGCTGCAACAGATAAATCTCACTGACAGGAGCTTGAGTGAAAGAAGCCAGAAACAAAAGCTATATACCAGAAGATTCCATTTCTATCAAATTAAAAAAACAGGCAGAATCCATCTATGATGTTAGAATGGAGGACGGCAGCTGCCCACATGGGCTTCTGGGGTATCAGTGCACTCTCCTCTTGAGCTCAGTGCTGGATACACAAGGAGGTTCTGATTGGAAAATTCATCAAGCTATATTTATTCTGTATGCACTTATCTGAAGGTATATTATATATGAATAAAAATCTAAATTTAAAAGCACAAGTAGAAAGGAAATGCAAGTGGGAATGAGAAGAGGAGAGAGGATGGAGGCAGAAACAATGATTATGTTGTCAAATCACAGGCACCACACACTGTTTTATCTGCTCTACAATATTTTAATACTAATTATGCTAGTATTATAGACTTACTATGTTTAATTAAAGAAGTAAAGAGACCTTCAAAAAGACTGACAATATCCATTTTTGAAAACTGATTAGGTAACAGGAACTCCGGACCCAGGAGGTCCTGAACTACAAAAGCTGTGACTTTCAAAGTCATTAGCACACCAAATCCCCGTTCTAGGACAGGTGAATAAATGTCCCACAGAATTCCAGAACTCAGCTAAGCTAGGTAAATTTCCTTTTAGGTGGAAAAGTGCAATACTTCAACACAAGCAGACGCACTATGCTAGCAAGAATAAAAAGTGTGCTGGGCTCTTTGTCAACACTCTTCAGAACGATAATGTTGGCTCCCTCCTGGGGTTGACCAGATGACCTCAAAGGTCTTTTCTGCTCATCATGTTCTATAATTTCTGTATTTGTCACACTGTGTGAAATATCCATTCAAATCATTACTATAATACTCTTTTATGACTTAGGACTTTTCTTCCATTCTTAGCTTCTCCTTTAACAAGGAAAACAGAGACCTCAGTGCTCATAAGCAAATCACTGTTTTGTTTGGTCTGAAGTCAGATGGGAGGCCTCCAAGGAAAACTCCCTTTTAGCATTTTCCAATTAGAAACTGCTGCACACTGCACTAAGAAACCATGTTCTTTCCCACTTTCCATTTACTTTTATTGCCATTATTTATCTGAGAGGATCATATTTCAAGAAAGACTTTTTCCCTAACCAAAAGGAAAAAATACATTTCTTTATAAAGAAAAAAAAAGTTCAGCAAACTCAAATCCAGTAGAATGTCTATCATTTTCAAGGCATGACATTTTTTAAGGAGTTTTGAATAAGAGGATATTAAGAACAGTGGTAGCTTATAAAAGCAGCTTGCTGGATAAGGACCTATTTGGAAAGGCTTTTTAAAAGTGCATTATTTACCCAGTGGAGCTGTCAGGTTACCATGTTTACTCAAGGGAAGGCAGATTTTCTTTTTTTTTTTTAAATCTGGCCCATGCTTTTCTTAAAACAGGCTATTGACCGGAATCAATGCAGAGTGGCCTAAAAGACACAGAATGGCCAGGCCTCGCTGGTACCTAAATAAATTGTCAGCCCAAGGTCATGCCTTTCATCAGTATTGGAAGCTATTTTTGAGTGGCTTATATGGAATGTGAATTGCTAAAGACTCAAAGTATAGATAAGACACATTTAGGGATGAGAAAACCACTCCAAAAAGCCCCCTGAATTCATCAGGTTTGCCTCCAACTCTTAAAGAAACAAAAACACATTTTTCATGTCCAGTGTGATACGCTTTTATTAGTAAAGCTATTTGTAGTGGCATTTTTTGTGTCTGTGACTGATTGTTCATATGATTTAAACAAAATCAAATGAGAAATATAATTGATTTGTCCTCTTCTTTCTCAGGTGGGCAGACTGATGCTATATATAGTCTGTGATTTGCTCTTTTGCCAGAAGTGTCCAGAAAAGGTCCCAGAGGACTCAGATGCAAATCTGGACCCTATTCCTTAGTGGATGCACCAGTTAGTATCTAGTGCATGATCAGCACAAGCATGGTTAGGGTGCTGTAAGTAACATGCCCCCAAGCTCAGTGGCTTCACACCACAGAGATTTATTTCTTACTCAAGCCAAATGCTCCATGACTTTGGGAAGCTCCTCAAAGCAACTGTCCTCCACGTAGCAACCTGGCAGTCCAGACTGCCTCCACCCTGGGACTTGACCATGTCAACTCAAGGCTTTTTTCTCAGCTACCCCAACAAGGCCAACAGAGAGACCTAGCACTCTGCTGGTAACCCATTGAGCAGAACTAGCCACGTGAGTCCAACCAAATGGAAGTGCTTGGAAAGTGGAATTTCCCTGTGCCTGGAAGGACAGGAGGGCCAGATAGAGAAGAAGCCCCAGATGTTTTGCTACAGTGGGAAAGAGGACAATCTAATTATTCACCTTTTGGATAGGAAATTGCATGTGTGTGTGTGCATGTGTGTATGCGTGTGTGCATGTGTGTGTGTGTATGTGGTGTGTGGGGGGGGGACTGTATGACAGTGGTAGTTATTCTTCTCATCTGAAAATGAATGCTAAGTGGTCTTGCGCCTAGATAATGTAACCATGGTTGACCATGAGGAAGTGTGGGTTATGCTACTAGACCATAGAAAGTAGCCAATTTAGATTATTATATTCTTATTATTTCAGTTGATTGAACAGGAAGTTTGCAAAGATATTTAAAACTAAAACTTTTTAAATGAAAAAGAAAAAAAAAACCAAAACAACTTTATATAGGTAGAGGAAAACAACATCCGAGAAGGCTCTGCTATACAATTCTACAACTGGTTCTCAATCAAGGACAACTTGCTCCCCAGGGAACTTTTGTCAATGTCTGAAGACAGTTTTTGCTTTCACAGCTGATGGGGGGAGGTGTTATTGACATCTAGTGGGTGCAGGCCAAGGATTGTGCTAACCATCCTACAATTCACAGGAGAACCCTAACAACAGAGAATAATCTGACCCAAAACATCAAGTATTAAGATTGAGGACCCTTAACCTTAAGTTCCAGGTTGTGAACTTAGTTGTGTCATTGTAAGCATGTTCTTCCTGATTTAAGTTTTTCCTTTTAAAGAAGATAACATATTTTCATCTCTTCTATATTTAAAGATTAATAAATAAGAAATTACATTGGGTAACCGGGTAAAGAAAGACACTGGGGCGCTTGGGTGACTCTGGTGGTTAAGCGTCTGCCTTCAGCTCAGATTGGGTCCCGGAGTCCTGGGATTGAGACCCGTGTTAGGCTCCCTGCTCAGCAGGCAGTCTGCTCCTCCCTCTCCCTCTGCCCCTCCCCCCTGCTCATGCTCTCTCTCTCTCAAATAAATAAATAAAATCTTAAAAAAAAAAAGAAATTACAGCCATTGAATGACTCATGGGTCCCACAGAGGCAGAATTCCCATACACCTAAAACATCATAAACACTGAGATGTACTTGGTGATGTCACTTAGTCATTCAACAGACTTGCAGACATTCCCTGAGCACCTGTCATGCTCCAGGCACCATGTTAAGCACCGGCTGTGAGGAGATGAGCAAGGCACAGAAACCACACCCAGGGACCAAGTCTGAAGCAAATGCATAAACAGATACTCCAGTCATGTTTGGTGGATATTGTGGGGTAGGTTTATCCCATGAGCCATGATCACTTCAGTTAGGCATCTGATGTGTGTCTGTGTGTATAATGTGCACACACGCACACACACACACACACATGAAAACCAATAAGTACTGTTTTAATGAAAGAATGGGTGAACAGATAGATCTCAGTCTGAGGA